GAAATCTCATAGGGAGATATGAGATTTGTGGATGCTTAAAATACACTATGAAATCTCTCCAATTTCCTTTAATTCCTTAACTTTCACAAATTCTTTAAAATCAATTTCTAATTGAACATACCTAGAATGTTATAAATTTCTTTAAAATCCTAATTGAATACACTTGGATTTCTAAGGATTTTAATAAACTATCTTAAAATTCTAATTGAATACATGTTAAATTACAAAGAATCATTTAAAATCCTGATTGAATATCCCTAGATTCATTAAAAGAATTAAAATCCCTCAAAATCCCAATTATATAAGTCTTATACACCTATACACTTATACACTTATACACTAGTGTGTTTGCAATTTGAAGTTCGACGACTCAAATGAGAGTGTAAAAGAGAAATGCTAAGGAGACTCTCAAAAGTATGATTCTTTATAGACTATCTGCTAACTCATAAATTTGGCACAATTCTCATGCCAACATTATAAAATATTGTGTAAAAAATATGACACTACGGATAGTCTAACTCAACTTTTCTAATTTTGAATCAGGAAACTTTCAAGCACACATGCAACAACAAACGAAGGATTGAAGTGCGCCATTGACCACATCCTCAAGGCACAGCAGAAGGGAGAAATCAACGAGACTAACATTTACCACGTCGTTGACAACATCAATGCCGCTGGTGAGTAGACCCCACTCTCGTAATATCAAGAGAGTTTTAATGAAATATTCTTGGTATTATTCACTTTTAACGAAAATGATAATTTTACTTTAAAAAGTCATTTATGATACTATTCACTTACAGCATATTTTTGTCATTTTGATTAAAACTCAAAGTTTTCAAGTTTTTTTCATTAGTTTTCTTTAATATTAACTCTGAAAATTAAAACACTATTGATGACCGAAATGATAAATTTAATTATTTGAAAAATTTTGTAATGAGCTTTGTGCATATTCAATTAAGGTTGTTTAATTTTTGGTCGCTAATGTCACGTTTCGCTGTTGAGCAGCTATTGAAAGCACTTTGTTGTCTATCGAGTGGGGGATCGCCGAGCTAGTGAACCACCCCGACAGCCAGAAGAAGTTGAGGGAAGAACTCGATACTGTCCTCGGCCGTGGAGTACAAATCACAGAGCCCGACATTCAGAAACTTCCCTACCTGCAAGCCGTGATCAAGGAGACTCTCCGCCTTCGCATGACAATTCCACTCCTTCTTCCCCACATGAACCTTAAGGACGCCAAGCTCAGTGGGTTTGACATCCCGGCGGGGAGCAAGATTTTGGTGAATGCTTGGTGGTTGGCGAACAACCCTGCCATGTGGAAGAAGCCGGAGGAGTTTAGGCCCGAGAGGTTTTTGGAGGAGGAGTCGAAGGTGGAGGCTAACGGGAACGACTTCAGGTATCTCCCGTTTGGTGTTGGGAGGAGAAGCTGTCCCGGTATTATCCTGGCCCTGCCAATCCTATGCATTACAATTGGACGTTTAGTTCAGAACTTCGAGCTTCTACCTCCGCCGGGACAGTCCAAGCTCGACACCTCGGAGAAATGCGGGCAGTTCAGCTTGCACATCCTGAAGCATTCCACCATTGTGATGAAGCCGACGACATAGATTTATGAACTTTGAATTAATGTACAGTCTTGGTAAGCCAAGTGATAAGTTCACTTCAGATCAGTTTGTATTTCGCCGTTGCCGCTCTTCTCCGTCACTTAATAGTTCAACTTCGGTCAATCCTTCTCTATCTACAACTCCTTCACAACATTTGGCTACTCTCAGTTGATTAAGGGCTGGTTTGGTATTGTTGTGTTTTGAAAAAAATGCTGCTTTTGTTATTATGTGAGAATAAGCAGCTGTGAAATAAAGCAGTAGAGTATTTGGTAAACCTTTTTTATAAAAGAACTTTTGGAAAAGAAAAAAAAAGCAGTATGATAATGTTTGATAAATTTTTATACAAAACAACCATGATGATGTGAAATGATTAAAACCAAGCTTATCTATCATTTTTTTTTCCTTCCTTTCCTCTGCTGCTTATCTATCATATTTCTTTTTCTCCATTCCCAAAACCAAGATTAATTCTATCTTTTACATTTTTTTCCTTTTCTATTTTCTTTTACTTTTCTAGAACACTCCCTCTCTAGAATCATCTCCATTTTTTTCTCCATCCCGTCCAACTACCTCTCTGTCTCTCACTCTTCACTTTTTCTCTCATCACCAAATTCCATTATTTTCGCCACTTTCTCCCTCATCATCAAATTCCATTTTTTCTCATTCATTCTCAGAAAAAGCTTCTAGATTTGTCATATGGGTTTTCGAAGCTGATTTTGTACATCGACGATCTGGTGAAGGTGTTGAAGGACCAGAGGGACATCAACAACTTGGCGCAGTGTCTCCAGTGTAGGAGTTTGAAACCTTCTTGTTTCACATTGGTCAACAGTATTTTTTCACTAGTATTTATATAGGCTTATTCCTTTTTCTTAGTAATTAGAACTTGGACCATTTGGAAATGAATTGAAGGCTTGGGCCTTATGGTTGTGTGGATTAGGCTTGATGCTTATACTATAATATTAATATTAATTAATCAAGACAAGGGCACTTGGGGTCAAGGAATTAAAATTAATCTGATCAATTAGTTTTAATTTTGAATTAAGTTTTTAATTAAATTAATTAAAAACGTTTTGATTAATAGACACAACTCTTTGGAAAGAGTTGTATAGCTTCAGATACATCCAAAAGGTGTTTGAAGAGGTATGAAAGAGCCTATATAACTGGAGTCCTCAGTTCCATAAAAAATCATCTTTTTCTTTCCCCTTGTCTTCCGTACAAAATTTCTAGAAAGTAAACACAAGCAATTCGCTAGAGTTCTCCAGTGTGGGTTGTAGAATTAGGTAGTTGTATCCTAGTCGAGCAGACGTTGTAGAACCACAAGCACATGAGTGGGACGGAAATACTGTTCGAAGGACATAGCATTTGCGCTAGCCTCTACCTTCAATTCATTTAAGTTAGTATCATTTTAATTTTTTGTTACTATAACATAATTGCATTTTGTATTACAAGTATTTTTTAATAATAAAGTATAAGTATTTCTGTTATTTTATTTTTTCTAAATTGTTCTCCAACATCCAGCACTGCAAGGCCCTTCGATCCTCCTGCGATTCCGATTTCAATGAAGTCCAAAACTTGCTTCGAGGTTTGTTTCCTCACTTGGGTTTTGTTTGTTTCCCGAGAAAATTTCTGACCCAGAAAATTTTCAGTTAGTTGCTTATACTTTTTTTCCACTTTCAAGCAAGCTAATCTGGGATTGTATAGTTTAGAAACTTACCTTGTGCACACCCGTAGAGAGCTCCACCTCAAAATGTAGGGTTCTAACCCATTTTCTGGGAAAATGTTTTCTTAAAGAGGGAGGCGGGGGCCCGGGGGGGGGGGTCACTCGTAATTATTGAGTCGAGTTTATTCAAGCATTCATCCTAGAGATCATTGAGCATTAATATGTATAGCACACAAATCTGATGTGTTTAACACTTCCGTTCCTTTAAGAAATTGGTTCAAAATATGTTTAGCACACAAATCAAATCACTTCGCCTAGTAGCACCGCGCTTGTATTGCTCTCCCACAACCTAGGTGAAACCCTTACTTTAGGGCCTTGCCTCGTGATTTTCTTGGCAAGCATTTTGGGTGAAATGGGGTTCTAACAAGAAACCATGGAAATTTTAGATTTCACCATTGGTTACTTCAACAAGGTTACGGTTGTCTAGATCCGTCTACCGGTTGATTTTTTTTGTCTCGCATGTAAATCAATAGTTAGGGTCCTCAAGTATTAAAAATGCAACCAATAAATTAACATTTTGGCAAGAAATTTTTTTTAAACCAAACACCAGCTACTAATCAAAAGGAGTTCTAATAATATTTGGCAAAAAAATAAAATAAAATAAAATAAAATGCATTTAAAAACACGGTTAGATTTTTAACAAAAATCTGGACGCGCCTCAATAAAAAAGCTTCAAGAAAAGCACTGGTTGACAGAAGTGCTTTCCATAGAAGCTTTTTTTAAACAATGACTTGACTCAAGGGTTAAAAGCAGAAAATTCGACCTCGAAAACCAGGAAAAAAAAAAGGAAAAAAAGATAAAAAAAGATATGGGTTGTAATCAGCCCCTCAAATCAGAGAGGATCAGAGAGTGCGTACATGTAGACCCTTTGCATTTCAATTCAAAAATTATATTTAAGAGTTTCCTTGATATGCGACGAAGTCTAAGCTTCATTCCATTTTCATTTTTTTTTTTGACAAAAAATATCGACTGTATCAAAGAAATTTCAAACCTTGATTGGTTGAATGTAGGTCAAATTCCTTCATCAAATTGAAGGTTAGTCACTCTTGGTTCATCAATTTTGATAGTAAGTTTTGCAGTCAATTCCCAACAAGGTTAGTATATTAATCTATTCCCTGTGAGCCTCAAGGAATCAGTAAAATGTTTTTATTCAAAAGACGAAGTCACAAAGAGAAAACTATTTTCTCATTCATTAGCACTTTCTTGCCAAGTATAAAGTCCCCTGGATTTTCATATCGTATTACAAGTTACAACGCCAATTGGGAAGAAAAGGATGTAATTCGCCAAATCACATTGAAATGTTGGGATAATTTCAAGCACGACAGGATTACAGAACAAGTCGTAATTAAAAAATTAGGATCAGTCACTCACGATCACTATTCATCCAAGACAAATCAAACAGTATCTAACAAATTACAATTCATCTATATTCTATATTATTGTGGTAAGCAAAAGGAAGAATTAATGACGGAACATAATTGGTACATCATATATTTTAATAGGAGTAGTGAAAAAATTTATTTTTTAAGTTATCAACCTTTTAGCACACATCTTTTATGATTTGTATAATGACACATAATGTATTATTCCGTATACCGATTCCAATGAAAAATCTCCCTTCAGATAAACCGGTATTCGTGCTCCAAAAGTCATCATCCCTGCTCCGACAGTCTTTCCTACAATAATGCAAGCCAGAAGCCCCAGTCTGTAAATTCCAAGAAACCCAAAACCACACCAATAAACCAGTTCACTCTCCAACCCCCACTCTCAGCATTTCGCTCTGTGCACCCACCAAATTACTCACCACACCAACGCACCCCAAAAAATGGACCTCCTCCTCCTGGAAATGACCCTTCTGGGTCTCTTCGTTGCCATCGCCATTTCAAAACTCTGCGGCAAGAAATGCAAGTTCCCGCCGGGTCCCATACCCGTACCCGTTTTCGGAAACTAGCTCCAGGTCGGCAACGACCTCAACCACCGTAATCTCTCCGACCTCGCCAAGAAATTCGGCGACTGCTTCCTCCTCGGCATGGGGCAGCGCAACCTCGTCGTCGTCTCGTCGCCGGAGCTCGCCAAGGAGGTGCTCCACACCCAGGGAGTCGAATTCGGGTCGAGGAGCCGAACCGTCGTTGTTGATATCTTCACCGGTAAAGGCCAGGACATGGTGTTCAGCGTCTACGGCGAGCACTGGCGGAAAATGCGGCGGATCATGACCTTCCCCTTCTTCACCAACAAGGTCGTCCAGCTGTACCGCCACGGATTGGAATCGGAGGCGGCGGCGGTCGTCGAGGACGTGAAAAAGCAGCCTGAGGCGGCGACCAATGGGATGGTGCTGCGGAGGCGGCTGCAGCTGATGATGTACAACAACATATACAGAATCATGTTCGATCGGCGATTCGAGAGCGAGGAGGATCCCCTGTTCGTGAAGCTGAAGGGATCGAACGGGGAGAAGAGCGGATTGGCGCAGAGCTTCGATTACAACTACGGCGATTTTATCGAGATATTAAGGCCGTTTTTGAGAGGGTATTTGAAGATGTGCAAGGAAGTGAAGGAGAAGAGGATGCAGCTGTTCAAGGACTATTTCATTGACGAGAGGAAGTAAGCAATTTGAAGTGCAAGGACTAAAACGGAAGTGTGAAAATCGCTAGTCTGACTCAACTCTTCTAATTTTGGAGCAGGAAAATTTGGAGCACACAGGCTACAACAAATGAAGGGTTGAAGTGCGCCATTGACCACCTCCTCGACGCGCAGCACAAGGGAGAAATCAACGACGAAAATATTTACTACATCCTTGACAACATCAATGGCGCTGGTGAGATCATCCGTTTAAACAATTTGATTGTCCTTGTCCTTTTGTAACTTGCATTTTATGTACAAATTCAATTAAGTTCCAAGTTTAGGCCGCTAGCGTCACATTTCTTTGTTGAGCAGCTATTGACACCACTTTGTGGTCGATCGAGTGGGGAATTGTCGAGCTTGTGAACCACCCCGAAATCCAGAAGAAGTTGAGTGAAGAACTTGATGCAGTCCTCGGCCGCGGAGTTCAGATCACAGAGCCCGACGTTCAGAAACTTCCCTACCTGCAAGCCGTGATCAAGGAGACTCTCCGACTTCACATGCCAGCCCCACTCCTTGTTCCCCACATGAACCTCCTGGACGCCAAGCTTGGCGGGTTTGACATCCCGGCGGAAAGCAAGATTTTGGTGAATGCTGGGTGGTTGGCAAACAACCCTGCCTTGTGGAAGAAGCCAGAGGAGTTTAGGCCCGAGAGGTTTTTGGAGGAGGAGTCGAAGGTGGAGGCTAATGGGAACGACTTCAGGTATCTCCCGTTTGGTGTTGGGAGAAGAAGTTGTCCGGGAATTACCCTAGCCCTTTCAATTTTGGGCATTGCAATTGGACGTTTAGTCCAGAACTTGGAGCTTCTTCCTCCGCCGGGACAGTCCAAGGTCGACACCTCGGAGAAATGTGGGCAGTTCACCCTGCAGATCCTTAAGCATTCCACCATTGTGATGAAGCCGAGGGGGTAGGTTGATGCTTGGGGAGGATGATTTTGATTACATGGAATGATACGTGGGTTGTGAAAATGTAAATTTATGAATTTTTTTTTTTCTCTCTTCTTTGCTGATATAGATTTATGAACTCAGAATTAATGGATGAGAGTCTTTCTCACCGCAGTGTGAGTTTATTATCTCTCTTTCGTTTTCCGGCGGGCCGGGCACTGCGTGCTTTTCTTGTTTTCTTCTTCTTTTTGTTCCTTTTTTGTTATCTGAAATAAGCCCACCCCCTTTCCCTAAACCAATCTACACCTTTCTGGCCTCTATTATAAGTTAGAACCATCTGGATCCCAAATTCCGCATGTTCACTTTCCTATACCCTCCTCACCATTGGGCCTTATGTTTTCACTAAATCTCAATTTGATTCGCCTACCTTTTCTTGCGATTTTTCGCATTTTTATAGGAGCGTACTTAGAGTTTTAACTCGGGTGTCCACACCACAACCCTTGTTGACCTTTGTTGGTCTTTTCTGGTGCTTGCGCTTGTTGGCGATGTCACTCGCGGATATTTCTGCCTGCGTGGCGTTTGTTTTGGTGGTCCGTTGAGGATGGTGCGGCCTTCTTCTTCAACTTTGGTTTTCTGGATAGTGATGGAGGTTGGCTTCTATGCTTCGTTCTGAGGTGTGTCGGCTGTGGAGGTGGTTTCATATGAAAATATAATGTTGTTTGTGTATGTTGGGCTGCAATGTAGACTTGGGCTTGTCTGTTTTTTGTTTTGAGGTCCATGTTGTTCTTTGTAATTATTGTGGTTTTGGACCTCTTTGTGTATAATGTTTGTGTGTAATATTTTCTTATTGGTAATAACTTTACCTTTTTACATAAAAAGTTAAAAAAATCCCCCAGTCTGCATTTTGTCTTTCCCTAAATCGAATTTAGGGCCACAGATTCTCTTGAAGTTTTTAAAAGGATGTGATATACACATTTTTTTTTACTTTTCACATACCTCTTGTTAAATTTTTGTTCATTGATTTTTTTCAATTCATCTGATCCAACGGTCAAAAACTAAAAAAGTGTAAAAGAAGTAAAAAAAAATGTGGATATCACATCTCTATATATCAATACATTTTTAATTATTTTGTAATTAGAGATAAAATAATACTAAAAAGATTAAATTTGTAGATAAAATTTTAAAAATTAAATGACACAATAATTATTACTTAAACTTTAATATACGTACTCATCTTTATTAATGACATTATTTAGTTTATATTAAGCAATTAAAATGCATGAAATAAACATGTTGGAATAATGGTAGGCTAATCAATTTTCTTGTTCAAAGTTAGGCAAAATTAGGCTTATGTTCTTTTTCTTCCCTATATATATGTTTCATCTTGTAATTGTTTCTCCAAGCAAATATACAAAACCATCTTCAATACTTCTCTCTCATGGCTTAAACCCTAGAACCCACGAAACCCTAGAACCCACGAAACCCTAGCAGGTTCATATTTTATCATGGTATCATAGCAAGGTTTCGTGGGTTCTAGGGTTTAAACCATGAGAGAGAAGTATTGAAGATGGTTTTGTATATTTGCTTGGAGAAACAATTACAAGATAAAACATATATATAGGGAAGAAAAAGAACATAAGCCTAATTTTGCCTAACTTGCCTAATTTGCCTAACTTGACTAATCTAACTTGCCTAACTTTGAACAAGAAAATTGACTAGCCTACCATTATTCCAACATGTTTATTTCATGCATCTCATTACTTGGCAAGATGGGTGTGATTGACATTCACATTCCACCTTGAGGGGGAGTATTAAGCAATTAAAATACATGAAATAAACATGTTGGAATAATGGTAGGCTAATCAATTTTCTTGTTCAAAGTTAGGCAAGTTAGGTTAGTCAAGTTAGGCAAGTTAGGCTAGTTAGGCAAAATTAAGCTTATGTTCTTTTTCTTCCCTGTATATATGTTTCATCTTGTAATTGTTTCTCCAAGCAAATATACAAAACCATCTTCAATACTTCTCTCTCATGGCTTAAACCCTAGAACCCACGAAACCCTAGCAGGTTCATATTCTATCAGTTTACCTTCTATAACAACCTCATCATTTGTAATCAAGTTTATATAATTAACATGAAGCCTCACTCGTAATAATTAAGTTCATTCTAGTCAAGCATTTATTCTAAAAACTGCTGAGCGTTAATTGAGTTCATTCTATTCAAATATTTGATGGGTCGATAGATTAACATTTTGGTATGAAATATAATAAAATCAAAAGCACTTTCCACGATGTTTGACAAGAAAATTAAAATTAATTTGTAAACACGTCCAAGTCAAAATTACCGAGGCCTCTAACAAAAGAGCTTCAAAAAAAGCACTTGTTGACAGAAGTGCTTTCCATAGAAGCACTTTTAAACAAGAACCCGGTTCAGGGGCTAAAAAGCAGAAAAAATTCGATCTCGAAAACAAGAAAAAAAAAAGGAGGAAATGAGATAGAAAAGGTAATTTGGGTCGTAACCAGGCCCTCAAATCAGAGAAATTCAGAGAGGGCAGACATGCGGACCCTTTGCAATTCAATTTCCGTGCACATAACCATGCTTTCTTCATTCTTTTGTATCCAAAGCATCGGCTTATTGTGCACGGATCCGTAAATGATCTGTAAATTCTAATTAACACCCAATAAATCGAAACAAAATCACAATTTCAAGTGTTATATGCGTTGAAACCAAAGGATTCAAATGATAAAAATCAAAATCAAAGGATGCTAATGATGAAAATTAAAATCCAGAGGATTCGGATGCGAAAAATAAAAAAGAATGGGTCGGAATAAGAAAATATGGAAGAACGTTTTCGGAACTGCGTCCTGCTGCTGTGGAGTGTTGTTTCTCTTGCTCTGGTATATATAGGGTTGGAGAGGGATCTGATCTGTTAGGGTTTATGCGACGTTGAAGGTGTGTCAAATTACGAAAGGGCCACTCTTGTTTCTGTGAATTAACGAGACTACCCTTGGGTTTGGTTAAGTGCACGGCCCCTCCGGAGGGTATGGGTGCATTCATATGGGGCCCACGGTCAGCGGTGTAGGAACAATTTTGTTGGGCTTAGTAAGTAGTTGGGCCTTTTAGACTATTTCTCTTCACTTGTAAGTGAGAGGTCTTATGTTCGATTCTCGTTAAAGGTAAATTTGAACCATATTATTGTTAGCTCATTATGAGGCTAAGCCCACCCCCTCCCCCTTAGCTTCAAAAAAGAAAAATTGTTGATAATAAGCATAAACAAAAAATTGTTTTAAATTGTCACTTAGTACTACAGGTTAGTAGTATTTTTTTCTTCACTTGTAAGTGAGAGGTTTTAGGTTTGATTCTCATCAAAAGCGATTTTGAATCACATTATTACTAGCCTATCGTGAGGCCAAACCCACATCCTCCTCCTTAGTGTAGATAATATCATTTGTTAAAAAAAAAAACATTGTTTTAAAATTTTAATTAAAACTGTAGATGACATTTTACCTTAGTGACGGAACCACAGATGACATTAAAACTGCAGATGAGTTATGATACATACCATCATTTCAGTTAGCTTGATATGCATTGTTGACACATTCCCCAAGGGTTATCTGACATTGATGCATGTAATGATATATTCTAGGTCTCTAGGTTCAATTTGCATGAAACTCAGGTGAAATTCTACTCTGGACATAGACAGACAAGTTCGATATCTTAGGTGTTTTCTGTCTCGTACTAGCCTCCCAAATGAACTGAGCGTATAATTTTTCAACTAGACTCCGTGTAGCTGCGTATAGATATGAAAATACAGATTGTTTGGGTTCAAGAAGCTATTACCTATATGTACTTGAACTTTTTCTTCCTCAAATTGTTTTTACTTTGTCGGTATTGCACAGTAGGATTAAGTTGTGCGTTGTGTCCATTTCTTAGATCATGTTATGAAGAGCTTACATGGAAACATTGTGCTAAAACTGTGATTTTAGCTTCTCTGATCAGAGGAACATTCGTATTCGAAGCACCAAACTTCATAAAAATGATCGTGATTTTATGTTTTCCAGTAGGGCAAGGTACGCCTTCTGAGTAAGCTAAAATTTCTCAACATGTAGACATACACTCAAGAGTTGTGTCTTCTTGTGATTGCAGACAGACACCACCCAGTAGGAAGGAATTATGATTTCGGCGGTGTAACCAGGCAACCAGATTGGTCTTGCTTTGTGAATGAAGATGAAAGGGATGATCTGAGCTCGCTGCGGTTATTAGCGGCATTCTTTTATTTCCATTGATTTCTTCCCCACCTCTGACTGATAAAATCGTATGTTTCCTTACCTTCTGTGTCTTTTGGCAGCGAAGAGTCTTGCTCATCAAGTGCGGGTATATCTATCAAGCGAAGATATGAGGCCTTTTCTGTAATTGCCACTTTGATGATATTTTCTCAAAAACTTAATGTTCTTTTTTTCCCAATTTTTAACCTCATTAAGGAACAATACGATCTATAGTTCACTGTCAAAATCAACCAGGAATTGGAGCAAGAAGCGACATGACAATGCATATTCGGGCCCGGGAAATCATTCAAATACAGAACAAAAGCGGGCATGCTGTTCAACCAGAGAATTTCATGGCTCAACAAAGATGCCAAATTCGTCAATCTTCAAACCATCCCACTACTCAAACTCTCCTCTCCAGGAAAACAGCAATTGGTTTGCTGGCGAAGGATATCTGCCGGTTGACAATAATTCAGGTTGCAATTCTTTCCATCAAAAGTCAGACACAAACTGCCCATCTGCAGGCTCTAAAATTTTGTTTGGAGGTCCCTTCAGTGCAATTCCTGTCCCAGAAATACATCTCAATCCTAGATCTCCATTTGAACCCTCTTAACCTGTTGCAAGTTCACCTTCCGGCAGTTTTATTTCTGGAACTTTGAATTTCATGACTCTCCTATGACACCAAAGATTGGTTATGGACCAAGAACACCAGAGTTCCATTACTCTAATGGCGAGACGCCATCTCCTGACTTATCAGCGCATGGAAGTGTCGGCAAAGATGAGGGAAGAAAAGCTGAATTGCAGCCATGCAAAAAATCTAACGTATTTCCCTCACCGGGCCGAGAAGACTTCGTCATCTATGAACACTCCAGCCAAATATAGAAGCTTAATAGATGAAAAAGAGCATGTTGCACAAACATTGAAGTATTTCTCTCCCTCGAGTTTATATATATGTTTGGTTCCCCAACTCTGGAGCCTTTAAACCTATCCTATATACGTACTAAGAGGTTTTTGCTGTACAGGATCACAGTGGTTTCGAAATTCCTATTCCATGTCCAAATCGCAATGAAAGGCACGTGT